ATACAATTCCTGCTCCTGCAGTTAGAGCCATTCATGAGTAGCATAACTTAGTAATGACTCACCTATGGCTTCTGCCTATAAAATGTGAACCTCATCTAATAGAGGATAGTGATTTTCAACTGTAATGCAGTGACAAGGGGAAGAGTCTTTAACCCATCACCCTCTCCCATTTCATAACTGTGTTAGTCTTCTCCTTGTTATATTTTAAAATTTAAAACTAACTTAATTGATATTAATATTGATAGTTGATGTGGAAGATCCTGGGTAAAAATGGTGTGGGATAATATAGTGGTACCTTGGTATTTATTGTTAATTGGTTCCGGGAGGCATGGTGAGTACTAAAATGATGAGGTGCGATGGGTACCAAAAATGATGAATACCAAACAAATTTTTCCTATGAGGAATAATGTAAATAAATTTAATGTGTTCCCAAACCAAGGATAATGCACATTTTTAAGGCAATATGTAAAAAGATAAGGTTGCATATCATTACATGAGAAATAAACTTAAAGATTAATAAGCAGTTAGATTAAATAAAATAAAAACTTCACCTGTTTTGATGAGAAAAAAGGCCAAAAATACACAAAATGACCTCAGGAGATGTACACAGGGCAAGAGCTATCATTTAGACTTAGAATAACTTTATTGTCACTTTGTACACTAATCGGCATACCTTAAAATGAAATTTCGTTGCATACAGCTCTCAGGGTCACCACCACCAATGTACACTACATAAGCACGACAAAATAAATAAATAAATAAAAAGTTATGCATATACCCACGTATATTATATGACACAGAGAAACATCACAGTGTAGTTCAGACATCTACATCTACATGGCGAGAAAAAAATGAATCCTGCCAGTTTACCAAAGGTGGCTAAGTACCAGGACAAAATTTTCTCGTCAAAAGGAGTTGAGTTCCAAATTCGATGAGGTTCAAAGCAGTTGAGTACTGAGGTACCACTGTACAACCAATCAGATAGGCTTCTCTTTCAAAAGTATTTCCCTTCCTTTAACTCCTATTGTTTAAAATATGCTTGTGTGTATCTGCAACTTTTTTTTTTTTGCCCAATCCAACCTCCTTCCCCTCCCAAAATACATCTGGTACAAGAAAGACATTAACAATGGATTACTGTCGATTTGGACAAAATTATGCATGCTTTGTTTTGAGTTCAAATATAGAGGGAATTTCCTCTAAATTAATTAAGAAACTAGATTTACTCCAGTTACTTTTTCTCTGTTAACCTTCAGATAAAATGATCATCATAGAATGCAATAATAAAAGAAAATAACAAAGGTTTAGGTGCTTTTTTTAAAAAGGATGCCAGCAGATAAAATGAAGATACATTTGTAGTGTCTTATAGAAAACATTAAGATCACAATCATGGGATTGTTTGAAAAAAAGTATTTAAGTACAGCCAAAAGTATTTCTCTAGTGCTGCAATGACAAAAACTGACATCAGGCAGATTTCTCAGGAAGAAGAAGGTCACAGAAAATACATTGCCAGACAAATAAAACTCCATCTTCAAAAAGCAGAGAACCAGGAAATAGGCCTTGCTGATGTCACAGCGAAATATGAGCACAGTGTGTCTCTGAGTTCTGCCAATATAATTTCTTACGCACTCCAAAGGGCACATAAAGTCCTGTTTTTACTGAGAGCAAGTAATATAGTTGGTCCCTCTTCCAGATAGTTCATCTTCTTCACCCTCCTGGAACTTAGTTGGAAGATTTATATCATAATTTTCCATTCCCAAGAGAGTACTGTGGTGGTGGGCTTATGGTAGAGGACGCAAAAAATAAAAAATAAAACAATTATTACAAATAAATGAAAATCATGTCCCATTATGGCTGACTTCTTTGTGTACTTATTAGAAAATGAACTCTGAAAAGTCATCAGTACAATTGTGCTGTAAATAGTGGAATTTTAAGAAGAAAAAGAGAGGTCAGTGTAACCAGGAGACCAATAATCAAACAACAGGCTAGCCAAGTGCTTTTAAAAACAGAAAAAAATATATTATAATCTAGACTTGGCAAGAGAATGAATGACAGCCATTCATATCTATGGGAGAAAGTTTTTTTTTCAGTGCATTTTTTGGACTATATAGGAGAAGAGTATCTTTCCCTCGGCCTTATGACCCCAGTTGCTTGAGAAAACTTGCCCTTCCAACATCTTCGTCATTTGCAACATCTTAACATTCTCCCTTTGAGCTTACTAGGAATCTTGTCCTGTTTTTTTAATAACACCCTGAACCATTTGTTATTAAGATGGAGTGTGGCAAGCAGAATGGACTCCAAAAATGACCTTTGCTCTAAGGACTCAGAGGGTTTTTGCCCTAGGGACTGCTGCAAAGAAGGCCCCCAGAGTCCTTATCCATAACTACAGTATTGGGCATAAAGTGCCTATTTTTTTTTTGTTCCGTTCAGATGCATGTTGGACAAGCCACAGTTGAGTCCAGATGCTTGCAAGTCAGGCCATTATGATGGAGAAATGGAATGTGCCTTTGAGATGCAGGATAAACAAGGGTGGGCTGATGGGGGTTCAGGAGAGCCCCCAGCTAAGATTTGGTGTAGTTCAGAGAAACCCCAAATCCCACTCCTTGCTGGCTCCACCCATCCCACTCCTCTCCTCCCAGGAGTCCCCACACAGCCCGTTTTGGATGCAGGTAAGTGAAGGGCACGTGCAGAGGCTCAGGGAAGGTGAAAAACGGGCCTCTTGGAAGCTCGGGAAGGCCGGAAACGGGCCCATTTCCAGCTTCTAGAAAGCCTCCGGAGCCCAGGGAGGTTGTTTTCGCCCTCCCGGAAGCTTGAGGAAAGCCTCCGGAGCCTGGGCAGGGCCAAAACGCCGCCTCTTGCTGTGGTGCAGGAGGCTGACTAGGCCATGTCCACCCAGCAACCGGGCAGAGAACCTGTTGCTAAAATTTTTGAAGCTCACCCCTGGGGATAAATCCTACCAATGGAGACTTTAAGGTTTTTTTAATCAATTTTATCTCTTGGTTGAGCTAAGTGACATTTGAGGGGAAAAAATGTCTTCAATGAAAGGATAAATACATACCAAGCTGAGTAAGGCAGTTTGTAACCATTTATTGTAGCAAGAGGGTGTCTTTGCTCATTGGTGGAGCATAGGATTTGTAGTGAAAATTCATTCCTGTCATCTGCATATAAATCTAGGAGAAACTGGTTCATTTTCATATTTCTTGATGCGTGAGATTTTGAAAAGGCCATTTCTGAGAATAGTGCCCATGGCAATGTGTAAAAACATGAGAAAGAATCAATGTGCCTTCAAAGTATGTGGTTGCATTAAAGAATGCAGTAATAATTAACCTCTGTAAATTCCTCAACCATAGAAAGGTATAGAAAAACTAGCTGCTGTCCAAACAATGGACGAAGAAATTAACTATTGCCTGTCTCTTAAAACTATGTGACTTTATTCTGGTGCCTTGTAGATGGTTTGGAAAGTTGAGAAATGTCAAAGCACAACTTCCTATTAGAAGCAATAAATGGAATAGGATCTCTATAGATAACAGTCTCCAGTACTCGGGATATAAGTAGATTTTTCTGAAGAGAAAAGTCCAAAGTTACTGTTTAAAATTAATATGGTCAGCTATACTGAATGAATTCCAAATTGGAATTAGAATGTGTGAAAGGAAAAGCTAAAGCCATGGCATTTCTTCAACAAGTTTTGCAATGCAGTCTGGGTTTCTATATAGGTTGGACAAGCCAGGGCCATTTTCTGTAAACATTTGCTTAGTTTTTAGCTTCCTACAGATGTATTCAATGTGTAAAATTCTTTTGTGCCCTTCAGCTTTCCATCTCCTAATATAGTGCCTTAAAAAACAGTGCAAGACTATGCTTTTTTTGGGGGGGGGGGAGCGTTATTTGGAAGGACACACACTTTCTTGAGCTAAAGAGCGTAATTATTAGGTAAGATAATTGGTTTTAGATCCAATAAATGTGTATTCAGTCATGGTCAATCCTATCAGAGTTCAGCCAACTCACATTAGTAATAGTTGCATTTCAGGTGAATGCAACATAAAAAAAAAGTGCAGTGAACATATAGTAAGGACACTTGTTTTTCCTTTACGGTATTCTCCTTAAACATCTTCGTTTTGCCTGTCTATCCTAAGTGCAGCATGTTTTTGAATATTACTTTATTATGTTAGTATGGTACTTGTGCTTCGAATGGTGCACCGTGGCCATTTATTTAACAATAGACATTGGCTACAGTCATTCAAACCCTTGTCACCTAGCATCTGGCTACAGAGGATTGCCTTTGAAGACTATCCAGCATCTACAACTGTTGCATAATGCAATACCCAGTATACTAACAGGGATAACCTGTTATTGCCATGTAACACTAGGACTGTAGGAACTCCATAGTTGCTGGTTTGTTTCCAGGAATAATTGAGTGACTAATTAGCTACCTTGGAAGAACACATTGTAGAAGGCTATAGTTATAAGATTTGGACACAGTCCAAAGTAACACAAGTGAGTCTGAGTCTATAATCCTATATAAATTCCAGTCATACACTCTTCATCAGTTTAGGGCTGGGGTATAATTCCACAGATTTTCACTTTGATGTTTACTTCTTGAAGAAAAATTAAGATAGATGAATACCATAGTTTTACTTCGAAGAAGGCACTTTGGGTTATATCCTAGTCCTAAACTGGCTTATTTGAAGTTTGGTTTCATTGCTTTCAACAGTTCATGTTCTCAAGATAAGATAGGTATGATTACATCCTTAGGCAGAAAACAGGGCACTGAACCCTTCAATAAATTTCAGTGAATAAGAAGTATGCATAGCATTTCCTCTTATAACCATCTTAATCCCTTTCATTCCATTTGCAATTGGTATGCTATTAATTTGGCACTTTATATAATTCGTGTGATAGCAGAAGGTTAGACCAAGCAGCTGGTGAAATAACTTAGACTTTGCTCTGATTTAGGTTTGCTACAGCCTTTTACCTCAAGTTAATCTTCCTTTCTATTTATTCTACAGGTCCTGTGCCTAGAAGTGGCTGTCTATTGTCTCAGGTCAACAGTTCACATCCAGTCCAAGCCTTGCTAGAAAGTTTTACTGTCTTATCTGGCTGTGCAAGCAAAGGAACTGCTGGATTGCCACAAGAAGTTCACATCCTCAATGTTAGGAATGCAGAAGATTCTGGTCACCATGAAAGAGAGGTATGGAGGAAATCATTCTGTATCTTGGCCTTAAATATCACTATCTTCTCAATATGTTGTCTTCTAACTGTCTTGGACTTCAACTCTCATAATCCAGCACAGCATTTTATTGGTTTGGTTCATAATTTTGAGTTATAAGCTGGAGCCCAACTTTAGTGGACTAGATTGATAAGGTTGCTTTACTTTGGAGAGGGGAGGCTTCAAACAACTTTGCCTAAGAAGACAACACAACTATTATCGTGTTATAGTAGGAGCCCTGGTGGCGCAATGGTTAAAGTGCAGAACTGCAGCGTAACTCTGCCAACAATCTAGAGTTTGAGCCTGGCATAAAGTTGATTCATCCTTCCATCCTTCCGAGGTTGGTAAAATGAGGACCCAGATTGTTGTGGACAATATGAATACAATGCTTACACTGTAACTTGCTCAGAGAGTGCTGTAAAGCACTTCCCTTTTTTTAATGGGGTAGAGTCAGGGGAACTAGATGTAGCTGAATGTTTACTGGCTGGATTCTCTTCCTGATAACATACATGGAGTTTGCAGCAGATTTTTGTGTGTTCGCAGCAGGTTTTTGTGTGCACTAGATAGAGAAACATCTGCTACCTAGGATTGAATTCTCAACCTGTGGGGTAGTATCATACTCTAAATGCTATTGCTATTAGTATATGGCTGAGGAAATAGCAAGGTACAAAGATTTAATTTATGCTGGCATTATCATATAGATAATAGGAATGAATAGGAATGTGGGGAAGAAGGAAGGAGAGAGTAATTCTTTAGAATTATGACTAGCAACCATGTCAGTCAATGAACTGCGCAATAGGTCCACTGCTTCCAAGCCAATGTGCTTTCCAGGAAATCTGTTTTGAATTGAATTTTTGGTATGAAACATTCGGCCTGCCTAATCCCCATCCAGAAGTAATAGATGTTGCTTGCAGGACTGCACTCTCACAGAAACATTTGTCACCACAGATCTTTAGGATGGGCTGAGATGCAGACCAGATCTGTGGGAATTGTAGTGATTTGCATTGTAGAAAACCAAGCCTTTCCTGATCTTGCTGATCTCCTGGAATGCTGCAAAGTTCGAATTTAACCTATGTAGAGGTTACTGTGTCATGGAAACCCGACCTAGTTCCTCTCTAAATATTTTGAATTTTGAAGCAAATCTGAGTCTAGTATAGTAAGTCCTCTTTTTTTTCCACTATTGTGGCACAGATTATGAATGCTCAGCTCTGTTATCTGATCTGAGGCAGCTACTATATTTCAGAATCATTATCTAAGATAGGTCTCTGAAAGCTTCCCAAGTAATCCATCCTTCCTGTCTTTCTGACAATGTTTTATGGCACATTCCATGCCTTCAGTTTTTCCTTTGCTTCCTGCTTCTTTATAAAAAACTGGGTTCCTGTACCTTTCACGATGGCCCCTGAGAAAACGAGCAGGAAGTAAGGAAAAGACTTCATGACAACAGGGGAAATTGTAAGAGTATAAACAAGTTTAAACCAGCTTTTCCCTGATGTTCCAGAAGCCTGGAAACAAAGCAGAGCAAAGGTTATCATTAACCTTTTTATTTATTTTTGCTTCTACACAAAAAAAGCCCACGTTTTGTAGTCCCCTTCAATTTGTACCGAGAACAGTCTTACTTTGTCCCTCGTGATACATGCATCCGGCAAAGGTCAGGATTTATATGTTGACTATACAATGCTTCCAGCATCTTGGAGGATAAATAGCACTTTTTATTTTTATTTTTGATTTGTACCCTGACTAACATGGAAAAGTAAGACAAGCCAGTTTTCCACGTCCTTATCGAAAATATTAAAGGTTTTTTTAAAATTAGATTCCACATTGCAGGTTCCATATTGCAGGTTACATTAGTTCTTGTTTGGTTCCTTAAACTTAACCCATTACACGTTAAACTAAACTTTAACCCATTACGTTTCTGCTAAATGTACATGTCTTATATGCTAAGAGATGGCACAATTGTTTTCTTCCAGCAAATCCTTCACAGTCTCCATGCATTAAACATTCTTCTGTTTTCCTAATTCTCATATATATATAACATGTAATATCTACACTTTCTGATATCTTCTTAGAACATGAAGAAAACTAGCCTCTCACATGTAATCACAACTTCTTCCAAGCACCAAGCCTTCTAATGAAGTCAGTAAAGATTTTTTTTATGTCCGCATTTTAGATTATTATCAAGAAGTGTTCATTCAAATGTTGTGAAAAGGGGTTGAATTTCAGGCATTTGCAATGCATCAGAAACATGCTGCCAGACTATTGAGACGGCAGCTTGTGCTTCCGTTAAACATTGCCTGTTTTCCTTCATTTTGAAATTGTGCTTTGAAAAACAATATTGAAATTTAGGTTATTTAAGATATAATAGTGCAAAGCTACACATATCTACCCGGGGGGGAAATAAAATCTCTCTGAGTTCATTCATTCCCAGATAAGTAAATCCATAACTGCAAACTAAAAAAAGCCACAGGTGGAATCATTTATTTCTGTAGCTATGTTTGATATAGGAAGAAAGTGTGTTGGATATGTTTGCCATTTGGAGTTATTGATAAAAATATTAAAGGCTACCTACCTACCTACCTACCTACCTACCTACCTACCTACCTACCTACCTA